CCCTGACTCATTTTAGAAAGCTTTTTTTTTTACACCTTAATTCCATTTTATTCCATGTGTATTTTTTGCTTTTTCCCTATTTTGTTAGCAGTGAACTCAAGAAAATCCATAGAACATCAAAGTACTACTTCTGTATTACTCATTTTTTTCTTAATTGGGAACATTTTAATGTGAATTTGATACTAGATCCTATGAATGAAGTACTTCTATATTTTGGTGCTATAGTGGTATCGTGATTCGTTATTTCAGGAACTATGGTGGGGTTTTTTGGTTTGTTTTTTTGTTTGTTTCTGCTTTATAACAAAGTGAATCAGCTCTACATATACATATATCCCCACATCCCCTCCCTCTTGCATCTCCCTGTTGCATCTCCCTCACTACAACCATCACTATCCCACCCCTCTAGATGGTCACAAAGCACTGAGCTGATCTCCCCGTGCTTTGCAACTGCTTCCCACTAGCTAGCTATTTTACATTTTTTAGTGTACTTATGTCAATGCTACTCTTTCACTTCGTCCCACATTACTCTTCACCCTCCCGTAACCTTATATCCATTCTCTACATCTGCGTCTTTATTCCTGTGCTGTCCCTAGCTTCATCAGAAGTATTTTCTTTTGAATTTTCTGTTATATTTTTTATACAGCAGGTTCTTATTAGTTATCCATTTTATACATATTAGTGTATATATGTCAATCCCAATCTTCCTATTCATCACACCAGCACCACCACCCCCATGCCACTTTCCCCACTTGCTGTCCATACGTTTGTTCTCTACATCTGTGTCTCAATTTCTGCCCTGCACACCGATTCATCTGTGCCATTTTTCTAGGTCCCACATATCTTCGTTAATATACAATAATTGCTTTTCTGTTTCTGACTTACTTCAGTCTGTATGACAGCCTCCAAGTCCATACTCCTTACTAACAGTAACTCAATTTCATTACTTTTTATGGCCGAGTAATTTTCCATTGTATATAGGTGACACATTTCCTTTTTTTTTTCCATAAAAAAATATATGGTTATTTTCATCACCTTTCTACATTACATATTATTTTGTGTTTAGAATATTTACATTTCGAATGGTAATTTTGGTTTGGATTTTTTATTCATTGGAAGGTGTACAGAAACCAGCTCACTCTCTCTCTTTTTTTTCGGCCTTTGTTTCCCAGAGAAATAAAATCTGACATACTAGAAAGACAGAGGGGACATCAGAAAGTCACAGCATACATAAGGCTAGTTAAATGCTTAAAACATACTTGAGATCTCAGATACCTCACAGTGTCCCTAGAATATGGTCATCAAAGAAAGTGCAATGACCCTGAGTCTTTTTTTAGACCACTTTTTTATTATTATTATTTTTTCTTTTGCGGTACGCGGGCCCCTCACCGCTGTGGTCTCTCCTGCTGTGGAGCACAGGCTCCAGATGCGCAGGTTCAGCGGCCATGGTCCACGGGCCCAGCCACTCTGCAGCATGTGGGACCCTTCCTGACTGGGACACAAACCCATGTCCCCTGCATCAGCAGGCGGACTCTCAACCACTGCGCCACCAGGGAAGCCCAAGCATAAATTTTATATGCACTGGGAAACAAAAAAAAAATCTGTGATGCTTTGTTATTTGCTTTATTGCAGTAGTCTGGAACTGAACCCACAGTTTCTCTGATGTATGCCTGTACTGTGATACTTTCAATGAATTCTCACAACAACCTCATGAAGTAGGTACTGTTAGTTATTCCCATTTTACAGATGAGAAAACTAAGGCACAAGGAGAATAAGCAACTCACCAGGTGAGCCAGCTAGCAAGTGGCAAGCAAAGCTAGGATTCAGACACCAGCAGTCTGGCTTCAGGGTCCCTGCTCTCAACTACTGCCATGCTCTACCTCACATAAATTCGGTATATCAAGCCCTGGAATTCATAGCTATTTTTTGCCTAGGATGAGATTCAATTAGGTATTTAAGGTTTTCAAAAAGTGAATCAATTTAAGTAAATATGTTGAGTGAATACTCCCATGGCTGGTACCCAGGCATGGCAAAACTTTCAAAGGCACATGAATGACTGAGGTTTAGAAAACATTGGAGTAAACCATGGAAATCTAAGATATGACAGAATATACCTGAGCTGTTACCAATGTACTAGGTAGGCTACTGCCCACCATGATTAAAATCTGTATGGGGAATTCCCTGGTGGTCCAGTGGTTCAGATTCCATGCTTCCACTGCAGGGGGCACGGGTTCAATCGCTGGCTGGGGAGCTAAGATCCCGCAAGCCACTCTGCGTGGCCAAAATACAAATAAATAAAAATTGAAAAAGAAAACCCGTATGGATCTCTTGTGTAATAATTCGTCCCAGGCCACAATTGTTCACCAGGTATCTAGCCAAAAGAGAGGGAAGCCTGCAGAACTCAGCGAAAGCTGCCCTGAGGAGGAAACATCTTGATCAAAGTTGGAGAGAGGTTGTAGAGGTGCCATCCCTTGACATCTGTTTGAAAGTGAATTGGTCAACCAGCCATCTATTCCCTGGTTTCCTACCCACCACCCCCTGGGAACATGACGCACAGCAGTCACAGTGCCCCAAAATATTTTAATTTCTTTTTAACTTAAAAGAAAAAATTAATATGATCCAGCCTAAATTATATTTGTCTTTATACCAACAGGTGTAAAATATAATTTTTTAAAAAATGTTATGGAGGAAGAGGCCCAAGAAGGCAGAATTGCCTAGGGCTCACAAAAGTCCTAATGTGGCCCTGATACTGGGGTGGGTCTCATGACCTCTCCCTCCTGACTGTGTCTTGAAGGAACCAGTTCAGAAGCCAATGCACGCAGCACCCTGATCCTGTTAGCATCCCCTCAGTGTTGAGAAAAGTAAAGGTACCACATTTGGGAAACCCAGCACTCCTGGATCCCAAATCTCTGGCTTAGGGAGACTCAGCCAAGGCCCTGGTGCAACGGGGGAGAGGCTTGAACCAGCGCAGGAGGAGGTGGACTGGCACTCAGGATTTTTTTTTTTTTGGCCATGCTTTCTGGCATGTGGGATCTTAGTTCCCTGACCAAGGATCGAACCCGCGTCCCCTACATTGGAAGCGTGGAGTCTTAACCACTGGACCACCACGGAAGTCCCACTCAGGATTTTTAAAGACTGCCCAATGGGCTGCTTCCCCAAAATACCTTTCCCCCTCCTCCACTCCTGCCTGCAATCACACCATTATTTACTCCTTTGAAATAAGACAGCAAGAATATTGTGAAAAGTGCACAAACTCACTCGTATGCCCATGGTCAAGTTGCCTGGCTTCCCTGGGGCTCAGTTTTCTGTGTAAAAAGAATGGGGAGATAATAATGGTGGTTGTAAAAGTAAAAGTAGGATAAATTATGCACAGTGCTACGCAGAGGACTCATTTCTTTTTATGTGAGTCTTTTCCAGATCTTACTTCCCCGACCAGGGATCAAACCCGTGCCTCCTGCAGTGGAAGTGCGGAGTCTTAACCACTGGACTGCCAGGGAAGTCCCTTAGAAGTGATTATTATAATATGAAGGACGTGAAAACGTCCTGGAACACCTGCAAACACTTCTTGGAGGAAGAACCACAATCGTAATTCGTGGCCTGGCCCTTTTTTTTTTTTTTTTTTTGCGGTACGCGGGCCTCTCACTGTCGTGGCCTTTCCCGTTGCGGAGCACAGGCTCCGGACACGCAGGCTCAGCGGCCATGGTTCACGGGCCTAGCCGCTCCGCGGCACGTGGGATCTTCCCGGACCGGGGCACGAACTTGTGTCCCCTGTATCGGCAGGCGGACTCTCAACCACTGCGCCACCAGGGAAGCCCCTGGCCCTTTTTTTTAATTTGACACATCGGTAGGGAAAACAGCTCAGTAAGATAAATCTAGAAAAATGGAGAGAGAGGAGAGGAAGCGGCAGTGGGGAAGGCAGGAACTCTTCCCAAGTCTACAGTACCTGCCCGGGAATAAGGCGCGCTTTAGGCGCCTGCAGAGCCGGGTGCCTTGAGGTGAGCAGAAACCCAGAACAGCAAATATTGCATGCTCCAGGAGCTGACCGTGCAGCACAGGCATGGTTGGATACATTAAGCGCTTGGCAAGTATCTATATTTGAACTCTGACGTGGGTTCATTACTAAATAAAGTCCTTGTAGATTTCACAAGAGGCACGCACGCATCTGAGTACCCGGACTTCTTTGCAAACCTAACCGCAAACTACAGGTCTCGGACTGCTGGGTGGGGTCTAATTTCAAAAAGCCCGTGCAAACAGCCTCCACGCCAATCATTTCGTCTTAACCATTAGCTGGATTCGAGCATTCCGCGCGCGAATGTAAAAAAATCAGATAGTCCCATCCATTCCAGCAACTTCTAGGAAGGGAGAACCTTGCTCAGAGCCCAGTGCAAGATAAACTAACTTCGCTTTAGCGCGCTTTGTTTTCTCGGGGCTCGTGCTTTACCCAGCTGTATCTCTCCGCCTTTTCCTCTGGGGAAGCAAGGAACACCGCGACACTGCCGGGTTGCAGAACATCGAGGGTTGGGCGGAAGAATATTTCCCAAACACTTCACAAGCTCCAGGAGCTCGCGTGAAGTCTTGCCCCCCGCCCGCAAACTGCTTGCGCAGTCCAGCACAGCCCCTTCCTCCAATCATACACTTCGCACAAGTTGGAAGCGGTCAGTTAAACGAGTCACCGTTCGCCGAACAAACGTGCCCACCACCGGCACCACTCACACGCACCCGCCCTATTTTTTTTTACACACCCTGGACGCGAGCGCGCCCCAAAAGAGTCCCACCGACCCCCACTAGAGGCAATGTGAATTCTAGTAGGGGGCGCTTAACCAACGCGAGCGCGTATGCTTTGAACCCGCGGAAGCAACGTACCCCCTCTATATAAGGTGCGCAAGCTCCAGCCTCGGCGCCAGAAGAGGTCCCGGCGTCAGAAGAGCAGACCCCGAGGTAGTTGCCACGGCCCCAGCGCGGAGTCTGCTGAAGCGCAAGCCTTCATCGACAGCAATCAAGGCATGGCGTGCAGCCACCGTGACACCGGCTACCGCAGCCTGGGGGTCGACGAGGACGAGGAAGAACTGCATAGTTAGTGTCTATACGGGGACAGGTGCTTTGGCAAATTCCAGAAAAGGAACTTTCCCTGGGAAGGGCAGGTGGACGGGACGCTGTGCGGCAGCGGCCGTCCTGCAGCCCGCGCACCGTGGGCTCTCTTGCCCCGGTCTCTCCCCTTTTTTTTTCTCTTTTCACAGATGCGGAGCCTACCTTGACCTCGGAGACTGTAACCGGAGAGGAGGAGGCTACGCTGTCCGAACCTGAGCCCGGAGAAGCAGCAGCAGCAGACTACTTTGATGCGGTCGGTCCCAACTTCTTGGATGAAAACCGTGTGGGCGGCGGCGGTCTTGAGCCCCCGCAGCAGCAGGAGGAGCTGGCCGCCCTGGCCGCTGAGGGGCCACAGATGGTACCGAGAAGCCTGCGCCGCAACCGTACGGTGTTCACCGTCTTGCAGCTGCGGGAGCTGGAGAGAACTTTCCAGCGCAATCGTTACCCCGACGTGTTCGCGCGGTAAGTGGCTGGCTCCGGAGACGCCTAGTTCTCCAGGAGCCCGCGCTCATCCCAGGGCGCCTTAGGCTCTTTCCCAGGACCCTCCCCCTCCTCTCCGGGCCAAAAGCTACTTAGGAGGCTCGAGGGCGCCGGGTCCGCCCTAGCTCTCTGGGCGTGGCGCAATGCCTATAGAGTTTGCGGGGGTGCAAGAAGGGAGCGGAACTCGGGTGCAGAAAGGAAGGCAGTGCCGATTAATCCTGCTTTAATTTAAAATCTTGGTAATTTGTTCATCATGGAGTTCTGCATTCCTTTTTACATTTTGAAAATTGCATTAAAATATTTATCGTAATTACTCAGCTTTTTCGCGCCCTTTAAATTTTGCTCACGAGGCGAGCGCCTCATTGGCCTCACCCTAGTCTTGGCCCTGCCTCGTGGAGCGCTGTTTCCAGGCGACAGTTTCGACCCTTAGAAAGCCAGTGAGTTATTCCCGTCGCTTACCTTCCCCGGAGAATTTGTGGTCCAGACAAGGGGAAGGCCTGTTCTGGCCCGGTAGCAATGGGGGACGAGGACAAATAGGTGTGAGGTTTAGGGGCGCCCTTTCAGGTTCCATTGTATTCAATCTTCGCCCGCTAAAGAGCAAAAAGAATTTCCCTTGATCGCTTGGCCAACGTGGTTTGAAGTTTCTCCTTGAGAGTTTAGTGCTTCCTTTTACAATAAACAGAAATACTCTGCTTCAGAACGCCGCTTTTTTGGTATTTTGGCGTTTTATTTATTTATTTTACTTATTTATTTTTAACATCTTCTTTGGAGTGTAATTGCTTTACAATACTGTGTTAGTTTCCCACAAACGGAAAATTTAATTGAGTCATATTCAACTAACAGATACACTATCAGGAATTTTAATATGTATTCCCTTTTAATATTTTATTTAACAGATGAGTTGTCCATGGGAAAACCCTCCCTAAAGTAAACCTCAAGCTGTATTACAGAAAACTGCGGGGAGGGGTATAGAAATGTAAATGATATATTTTATTCACAACTCCAAATACTGAACATTTGCACTTTTCACCCCCTCAGAGAGGTGATTGCAAGACGCTTGAATTTGCCTGAAGCCATAGTGCAGGTCAGTAAATCTTAATTTTAAAATTGGCAGGACAGCCATTCTAAAACATGCTTTAGGTTTTGCCCTGGAAACACTCAGGTTGGTGTGTTTTGTTGTCTTTTCCGTGTTTAGCAAATAACTTTTGAACAATGGGCGCTTTGGGGGTGGGAAATAGGACAAGTAAGTTCGAGCTTATGGAAATTGTACTTTACCAGAGAGAATTCGATTTCCTAAAGGGAAAAATATAAAACACACACGTCTCTCCTCCTCTCTTTATACACACACACACACACACACACACACACACACACACACACACACTCTTTATTTTCTAATAAATAAAGCTCATCTCCCTCTAACACTGGCATCCTTTAGGAAGGATGTTAGTATTCCCTAAAGGAATATTTCTATGTGGAATTTATTGGGGCTCAGTCTCACCTGGGAAGTATTCAAATGAATACACTGAAGAGCTAGGTTATAAGAAAGTTCAACTGTACTGAATTATTTAAAATACTTAAAACCAGGCATAAGCTCTTGGCTAAGTGAGTGAACATATAAATATTTAGACATTGGGGTGAGAGAGTAATTCAAACACAGAATATAGTACATGAGTAACTAATACACATTTAGTTAAACTGAAACTGATGCCCCGGGGGTGGCTAAAAAGTCCAAGTCCCAGTGCCTAATCCTCCTGCTGCTGTTTTTAAGTGTTTTGCAAATCAGTGTAGAGAGTGGCAGTCTTAAATTCTAATATTTTTGGAAGACTTTGATGTCAGCCTGAAGACATTGCTAAAATATTGCAGTTACGGTGGTAATGGGAAAAGGTTTGTAAGCTTTGGAAAATTATCCTCAAAAAATGAATCCAAAAAAGAGAAAGAATAATTTTGAATTAAGTTCCATTGACCTAAGAAGGAATGAAAGGTTAGAGAAGAATCGTATACATTCAAATATATGCATCGCAGGTGACATACAAATTCAACTTTATGAAACTACTAAATGAATAAGTGAATATTCTCTTGAAGAATTTTTAACATCTAAGATTTTTTTTATCCTTTTTGGTGGTATTGTTTTGAAAAGGTGGATTTCAGGAATTTGATTGGTTGTGAGGGTGATCTCACTTCAGGCCAGATTCTCACCTGTGCTAATTTAAAATACTTTTTCATTTATTCAGGCAGTGATTACAAATTTGTAGATCATGGAATCAAAAAGTGACTATCTGAGGGCATAGAACACCATAGTTACATCAAAGAAGTATTTTCCCCCCTCAATATAAATATATAAATAAATGAATATATATATATCTCTCAGATGGCTTACTTGTTTTGCCCCAGAGCACATGCATGAGTACAGTGATGGAAACGTACTGCCCATCTGTCTGTGGTATGCAGAAAAGCAGGCCACTGGATGGTGGCATCCTAATGCCACAGGCTGGACCAACAGTCAGGCTTGGTCTCAGGATGAGTCTCAGACAGGCAAGGTAAACCCAGAGGAAAAGAAAAACAAGGTTTGCTGAATTGCTTTTCCTCATGCCTTGGTTTACATAGTCCTCTTAATGGATTTCTGAAGGGAAAATGAGCCAGAAGACACAAGTAAGGAAAAAGACAGTGTTCTCATAAATTCCCAAACACTACAGCATGAATTTCCCCAAGAAACTTAATAGATGCTTATCCCACCCATCTTGTGCAAATATAGTAGATCTCTTTTATGAAACCAGTATTGGGAATATGGACCTAATATTGGCCCATACCAAAATTTGCCATACGTGGGCTTTTGGTTATGTTTAGGGAGATTAGACCACAGGTACATTTGAATCCCTCCAAAATGAGCTCTATTATGGTGGCCTTCTTCAGACTATATATCCATGTAGTAGAAGGACACCAAATCCTAAAATGGGAGAGAGAGAAGGTGGCTTCGGGCAGGCAGAGAGAAGAGGCCATTTGTCTCACTTAAAACCTGCCATTTGGGCACGTCCAAAAGGATTAAATACCATGTAAACCCCATCAACTAGTACACTAAGAGGACACTAAAGTCTAATTGATAGCTTGTTTGTTTGTTTGTTAATAGTTGGCAAGCATTTAGGGAGGAGCCTCTTTTGTGACCCCTGTCCCCACAGGATTGAACATAATTGGACCTTCCTGCCTTAGGAATGAGTGATGGGATTGGGGTCTCCTGGTTAAGGAGTGAAGCTGGCAGGACCTTGGGTACCCTAACACTCTGGGTAACAGTGGCTTCTGTCCAGCATCCTGAAACTGAAGCTGGGACCGAATGAGCTGACCTCGTCCTGAGCCCAGAAAGGTTTGGAGGGTAGGGCAAATTGGAGAATACAGAATTGACAGTGGTGACAATAGGGTGCCCAATATCTTATCTGGGGAAAAGGATTTTGGGTTTAGTGAATTTGGATTTAGTTAAGCTAAACTTTCCTTAACACTAACGGCTGAAATATCAAGGCAGTGTCCAGGGCTTCAGCACCTCTCATGTCCCAGCAAGACAAGCCACAAAGTCCCTGGGACCCCCATGATGAGGCCTCCATTGACATACCATCTGTTTTAAGTCTCACGAGGTTTCAGAGAAAGAATGATCTGTTAAACATCATTGAAGGAAACCTTCTGTCTAAAAGTGCACCATGCCCCTATGGATTAGTTACTTCAGACTGAAGATGGGCTTTGCAAATAGGGTATGGTTCCCCTCGGTATGACTTTAATTGGACCCATCTTTATCCCACACTCAGCTTCCCTCACAACCATGATGACACTACTCCTGGTGAGAAAAGGGTGGAGGCAGTTGGACAGTTGATAGTCCAACAGCAGGGACCTGGTGCAATTCATCAGTTAAGCCTGTATCCAGGACTTGGAAAAAACCCATTAAGGAATATTAAAAATGAGACAAATCAATGTGCCAAAGTCTGGGCTAGGCTTGGTTCACTAAGGGTTAGCTGAGGGAGGTGTGCTGTTTGCTTTCCTAAGATATTTTAGCAATAAGGGAATAGCTTCTCCTGCTGCAGTGTAAAATCTCAATGGCAGATTTGCATGGTGTGTGTTTTCTATTATGACATTAACTGTTCAATATACTAAACCAATCTCTTTTTCCCTCTGATTGAAGGTTTGGTTTCAGAACAGAAGGGCCAAGTGGAGAAGACAACAGAGGGCACTGATGTTCAGAAATCTGATCCCCATTGCCTTGCGCCCCCATGTGGGGATAATCTTGAATGGGCCCTATCAGGCAATCCCTGTTATAAGGCCTACATGGAGATGTGTTCCTGCAGTGCCACTTGCACCACCTGTACTACCCGGACCACCACCTCTGCCACCCAGGCTGCCACACGGGCCACCACCTCTGCCACCCGGGCCACCACCTCTGCCACCCGGGCCACCATTTCTGCCACCCGGGATGCCACCCATGCCACCCGGGATGCCACCCATGCCACCTGGGATGCCTTTGCCACCCCTACCACCTGTGCCTCCCTTTGCTGTGGCCCCTGTAGGTATTGCATGGGGCCCTGTCATCAATGGTCATTTCGCAGGTCCCATTTTCTGAATATGGTATTCATGATAGTTATTCCATTGTATTGTTCTGCCAGATAGAAGTTGTTCACAGCACATCAAAAGTAATTCATCAAAATCCTGTTAGATGAATAAGTGGACAAAATCAGTGCCTGTTGTTTCTGTTGTTTTTGGAGAGCATGTTGTGTTTTCAATAAAGATACAAGTTAGCAATATATTGATTTTTGCTGTCAAATGGACTAAGTTGGGTATGCATGGGAATGGCTAAGGCAATGCAATTCAAACAGAAAGTCGAAGAAGCTTCCTTTCATAATGTGATAGCTCTGAGTCACCATAATAGGTAACAGAGTCCTCCCAGTGCCTGTGGCAGGTTTACACTGACCACATGTTCTCCTCCCCCCATCCGTACCCTGACCCGTTGGGAGCACATACATGTGCGATATGGGAAGGGATGACCCTCTGCTGAGAGTACAGTGTGTTTCCAGGCAGGGACATGTTCTATTCAAGGAGCTCAACAGCCATGGACTCTAAGGGAATCTTTCTAAGAGGTTGCTCACAGGGTTGTAAGGAAAGGAGGTGGCAGCCAAACATCCATCTGGTCTCCAAATTCTGTTCACTGCCCTCCATTTTATGGAGGTGATAGGGGAATAGGAACCATTCTGGTCCCAAGACACAAGAGGGGGCTCCAGTAAGATCAGAAAATGGTTCTCTGTTTTCTCACCCCACACTCCCAGCCCAAAAGAGCCTATTATTGTAGCTTCCCCAGCCCAGAGGCAGACAATCACACCCTGAAGTGTATTTTGTCACCCTCAACATCTGAGAGATGGTCCCCTGAACAGAGTTCCAGAATAGGTACTCATTAAAAAGAAGCAGATCTTTACTTTACCCATTATGTCTTCATGTAAAACTGCCAGGTGAGAAAAGAAAAACAAAAATGGGAGGTGAGAAAAGGAGACCAGGCCAACTATTTTTAAAATATTACTATCTTTTCAGTAGAACTCATGCTTCTTATCAATTTCTATCAATGTACAGTGATTTTATGAACAGTCATGCTATGAAGTGACTGCAGTGACTTCAGATAGGGGTGTCACAGTGACACCAGAATTTCCTCGCACAGGAAGTGGGTTGGGGAGAAGGGGCTTATCAAAGACAAGTTTCACAGCAGTTACATGTTCCTAGTTTGAAGGGAGGCTTTATTTTCATGGAAAAGCATATGACTTTTGCAGTATTGTCCAATACTTTGCATTCCTTTCTTCCCTCCCTTCACACATATGGATACCAAATGTCAGCAAGGTGGTTGTATCAAATGTGGGACTCCTGCAGAAAAGAGGTTATTGCTACTGCAGAGGCCCCAGCCCCTCTTGGGAGTGATGGACATCCAGGATGCGCTTGTGCATACCCATTGCCATCCTCCCCCAGTGATTTTGAAACAACCATTCTCATTTCCCATTTTTGCCCCCTTTCCTTCTTGTTAAACATCAGGTTCCTCAATGGCTGTAAGTCCTCTTGGAACTACAGGATCTGTACAGATTGAAGCTCCAGGACCCCATACAGCCTTGCCACCCTGAGACTCAAACAGTACCCAGTGCACAAATCCCACAGTTTACTCTCAGATGCAGTCTGACAAACACAGAACATTTTTTCATCTCAGGCTGCCTGGAAGAAGCAAAAACGTAAATACCCTTCCCCATAAGTGGATGGGGTCTTGAAGAGACATATATACTATTTTTAAAAAACATAGGACTAGGGCTTCCCTGGTGGCCCAGTGGTTAAGAATCCGCCTGCCAACGCAGGGGACATGGGTTCGATCACTGGTCTGGGAAGATCCACATGCCGTGGAGCAACTAAGCCCATGTGCCACAACTACTGAGCCTGTGCTCTAGAACCTGTGTGCCACAACTACTGAGTCCACGTGCTGCAACTAATGAAGCTCGCGCACCTAGAGCCTGTGCTCCGCAACAAGAGAAGCCACTGCGATGAGAAGCCCGCGCACCACAATGAAGAGTAACCCCACTCACTGCAAGTAGAGAAAGCCTGTGCACAGCAACGAAGACCTGACACAGCCAAAAATAATAAAATTTTAAAAAAAAAACACATCTACTTCTTCCAGGTGCCAGATGATTTAAGGAAGGATGGTGGGATGGAGGCAGAGGAAATATGCAAAACGTTTCTGCATTAGGTTCCCCTCAGTCTAGGTTTTGAAAGGGAGAGGTCTTTTAAAATAATCTCACAAATAGCATCCTCTTAAAGTGTATTTCAAATATCCCCAAAGCATAGATCAGAAATTAATTATTTTAATATAAGGAAATTATTTCCATTTATTAAAAATCATTAGAAATTGACTATGGGCAAATATATTTACCTGAGATAGATGGTCTATAAAGACCTGGCAGTTTTGGGTGACAAATTTTAAAAACATAATCTCAGGAGAAGTACAAGTGCTTCAGCATTTTACAGTAATAATTCTGGATGTGCTCTTTCTAAAGTTGTTTCACATTGATGAACACATGACAGTTTTCACAATAGTCATTTTTTAAATTTTTTATTTATTTTATTTTTGGCTGTGTTGCATCTTCGTTGCTGCGTGTGGGCTTTTCTCTGGTTGCAGCGAGCAGGGGCTACTCTTCGTTGCGGTGCGCTGGCTTCTCATTGCAGTGGCTTCTCTTGTTGTGGAGCATGGGCTCTAGGCATGCAGGCTTCAGTAGTTGTGACACATGGGCTCAGTCATTGTGGCTCGCGGGCTCTAGAGTGGAAGCGCAGTAGTTGTGGTGCACGGGCTTAGCTGCTCCAGAGCATGTGGGATCTTCCCAGACCAGGGCTCGAACCCGTGTCCCCTGCATTGGCAGGCGGATTCTTAACCACTGCGCCACCAGGGAAGCCCACACAATAGTCATTTTTGTGGTCAAATTAAGCAGGGAGAAGGTTTGAGGTATTTGGGGGAAAGCAAGCTTTTTTTTTATTAGAATTAGATTTATGTAACCTGGATCTTGTTTCAAACAAATCTAGTCAGATCCTTGGAGGTCTAACTTGGAAGAGCCTGAGAATCAAAATCCCAGCCATCCTTTGGACTACAAGTACTTAGGAAAAAAGGGCCAGGAAAGGAGAGACTAGAAATAATTATTTGGTTGAGAATACAAGGATCTTCCTTGAGATTGGGGTGAAAAGTGACTTTTTAAACAAAGAGTTACAGTACTGTAAGTGTATTTTTATTTATTTATTTATTTTGGCAGCATTGGGTCTTCGTTGCTGTGCACGGGCTTTCTCTAGTTGCGGCGAGCGGGGGCTACTCTTCATTTCGGTGCAGAGGCTTCTCATTGCAGAGGCTTCTCTTGTTGGGAGCATGGGCTCTAGGCACATGGGCTTCAGTAGTTGCAGTGCATGGGCTCAGTAGTTGTGGCTCACGGGCTCTAGAGTACAGGCTCAGTAGTTGTGGCACACAGGCTTAGTTGCTCTGCGGCATGTGGGACCTTCCCAGACCAGGGCTTGAATCTATGTCCCCTACATTGGCAGGCAGATTCTTAACTACTGCGCCACTAGGGAAGTCCCTGTAAGTGTATTTTTATAAAGGGGAAGAGAGTTTGATCTGAGTTGTTTTCAAAAAAATAATCAGACATTTGCTTGCATTCTGAACATAGGGTAATATGCTTCAAGTTGGGCATGCTTTGAACACATACAGTTATACTGTTTTCCCACCCAGACATTTAGTGCTGGTATGACTCTCGGAATTGATGGAAACCTGAAAGTAAAATACCAGAGTCCTTCCCTGTATTTCCTGATTGGTAAATCCTACTTTGTCTAATTTGAATCCTGTAGCCCAGGGCCTCTTGTTGATGATGGGGGGGGGGAGCTGGTATAAAGTGGTACATAGACAGGGGTTCTCAGACCTTGAGTGGACACTGGCTGGAGGCAAATCATATCATAATCTAACTCTCATCATACACCCTTCTTCCTAAGAATGCTGCACGAAATTATCATTTGGGGATTCATTTCAGGCTTTCCTAATGCTCCCTCCCAACTAGTCAAGGCAATAGAACGTCCCAAAGAGAATGAACTCTTGCGTCAGATACCTCCTCTTCCTAGCAGACACTTTCTCATCTTCCTTTAATGTACTTCCACACAAGGTCACGTTAATTTGGCAAATAAGACAAATGTTCACAAGTCCTGCAGTCAAAGGACAGTGATGACAGAGAATCAGTCCAGTCATTTCATGCCACTCTTCCAAGCCGAGTGCCTTTCTTTATCTGAGGGACACTAGGCTTAGAGGAAGAGACCCTGGTATTCTCTCTGAACTGGAGGGGGCTTTCACGGTCATCCAGTCCACTCCCTTCATTTTGCAGATGAGAAAACACGGGCCCAGAGCAGTGGAGTGGCCTGCCTTGGGTAGCATGCACAGTTCATCCTGGAGAAGGCCAGCCTCTGTGTAGCCATACCCTCCCCTGGGCCCAGGATTTCCAAGCCAGGGGCAGCACACACCAGGCCAGGTTCAGCTCCTCTGTGCTCATCACCTCCATCCGCCCAGAACTCTTTCCTTCAAGGGGCTACAAACTCAAGGTTCCTTCCCAAGCTTCGGCACTGGGCCATTTTACCTCTAGGAAAAGTAAGCAGCTTCCCCTGAAGGCATGCAGTATCCTGGTGTCTACTCTTGAACGCTGAACAGCAGGGGCTTGAGAGAGTGATGCAGTTTGTACCCTCCTCACAAAAGGCCAAGTGTGCTTCCATTACAATAACCCGCGTTTCTCCCAATCCCCTGGCAAAGCTGTGCCTGCCAACTGGCAGCACAGAACATAAGCCATAGCCAGCTCTGGGCTTGTGTTGAATTAACTTTTTTTGTAAAGTAGGCTAATAGTTTGGAAACTGTCATTATGCAATTAGTATTCATTTTGAAATGTGGTTATTTATGCTTTGCCTTGATCAATGTCACACTCTCTCCTTCTCAGATGTCACTGAAATGCTCTGGGGCAGGAACCCAAAGTGCAATGGTGTAAATTTAATTTTCAAATGCACCCTGATGGTCGGCATGCCTCCCCATGCAAA